TCTGTCAATCTTCTTTATCTTTTCAAAGAACCACCTCTTGGATTTGTTGATTCTTTGTATTGTTTTCTTTGTTTTGATTTCATTAATTTCTGCTCTGATTTTATTATTTCTTCTTGTCTGCTGGGTTTGGTTTCATTTGTTGTTGCTTTTCAAGTGTCTTGAGTTTCAATGCTAAGTCATTTATTTGTGTTCTTTCTGATTTTTTTTTACATGTATGAGTGTATTGCTGCATGTATGTGGGTGCACCGGTGTCATGCAATGCCATGGAGATCAGAAAAATACTTTGGATTCCCCTGGAACTGGAGTTAAGGATGGTTTGTATCTGCCATGTGGGTGCTGGGAGTTGAACCCTGGTTCTCTGCAAGAGAAGTCAGTGCTCTTAACTGCTGAGCCATCTCTCTAGCCCCCTTTCTGATTTTTTAATGTAGGCAGGCTTAGAGCTATAAACTTCCCTCTAAGGACAGCTTTCAGCATGTCCCAGAGGTTTTGTTGCGTTGTATTGTCCTTTTCACTTAGTTCCAGGAATACTTTTATTTCTTTCTTAATTTCTCTTTTGACCCATTCATCATTCAGGAATGTGTTGTTTAATCTCCATGTGTTCATGTGGTTACTAGGGTTTCTTCTGGTGTTGATTTTAAGCTTTATTGCATTGTGGTCTGATAGAATGCATGGAATTATTTCAATTTTTTTGTATTTGTTGAGGTTTATTTTGTGCCCCACTATATGGTCGATTTCAGAGAAGGTTCTATGGGGTGCTGAATAAAAGGTATATCCTTTGGTGTTTGGGTAGAATACTCAATAGACGTCGGTTAGGTCCATTTGATGTACGGTATTGTTTAATTCAGATGTTGCTCTGTTAACTCTGTCCTGTTGACCTATCTAATGGAGACAGAGGGGTATTGAAGTCTCCTACTATTAATGAGTTGGGATTAATCTGGGTCTTAAAGTCCTGTAGTATTTTTTTTATGAAGTTGGGTGCACCAGAGTTTGGTGAATATATATTCATGATTGTAATATCTTCTTGATTGGTTGTTCCTTTGATCAGAATGAAATAGCCCCCTTTGTCTTTTCTGATTAGTTTTAGTTTAAAGTCTATTTGTCAGATATTAGAATTGCAATGCCTACTTTTTTCTTAGTACCATGTGCTTGGTATATTTTTTTCTGTCCTTTCACCTAAGGTAGCGCCTGTCCTTGAAAGTGAGATGAGTTTCTTGCAGAAAACAAAAAGATGGGTTTTGTTTCTTAATCCATTCAACTAGTCTGTGTCTTTTGACTGGGGAGTTCAGACCATTGACATTTAAAGTT